ACATCTACCTGACGACTTTATATCCATGCTCAGATGCCAAAGAGCTCAGAAAGTAACCGACTGTGACTAATAATAATCAGATATATAGAGACTAGAAATGCATGTGCAAACATCTTAATGTCAATTGCATTAAAAATGAATTTTTCTCTATGAAACTGTGTATTTAATAATGAAATGCAGATCTTTTTAAAGGTTAAAACCTCATTTAATTTTATGCCTTACAGGGTTTATACTGAGTACAATATTGTATAACTGTAATAATTCAACTGTGAACCTAAAAACTTACACCTAATTTTGAAAAAGATGCATCTTAGTTCAGAAAATTGTTATTGAATATGTCAATGCTATTGTAATGAAATGCTTCTTCTAAGTATGTGGTTATTAAATAAATAATTAACTGGAAAAAATCAAATGATCCAGTGAAAAATAAGCTATAAATTTCTAATTTTTCTGCTTAGCCTACGAACTCATAGAATGGCATGGCCTTCATTTTATCATTATGTCTTTCAATCCTTTCACATCATTAATTTTAAAAAATCTAGTGGATTAACATACCAATATAGTTCTTTGACATGGCAACTTCTCTTACTTCAATATGAACAGAGCCTCTTGGTATCCGCACCACTTCCATGTAGCCTGGAACACAGAAGACAGCAGTAGCAAGCAGCTGAACTAGAAAAGGAGTGCGTAGCAACAATCTGATATTAGCAATGTCTTTGCATTCTTTGACTTTGGACTTCATAGATACAAAATATGGGCAAATTCCTGGTAGGTCTATGAACATATTTCAGAGAAAAAGTATTTAATTTTATTCTGTAAAACTAACTCATATTTTTTTAAGCTCTTGACATGTATAATATTGGTGCACCCTTCTTTTCTCAACACATACTCTTCACATCAATGCTCTATAAGTTTTCACATCTTAAAAAACATGGCAAGCTGGAAGTGATAACATGCACCTATAGTCTCCGCTACCTGGGAAGTTGAGGGACCAGGATCACTAATGCCTGTGAGTTGGAAACCAGACATGGCAACTTAAGTGAGACCCTTACTAAGAAAAACAATCGAGATCTAGGGGGTGTAGCTTAGTGGTAAAATACTTGCTTAGCACGATTAAAGGCCCATTTTTAATACTCAAGAATCCATCCCTGCAAAAAGGCTAACTGAAATCAAGTAGAGAGAAAAATGACATTAAAAAAAAATATCTTGCATGAAGGTACATTTAATATTTTAGGAGTTTAAATGGACTGCCTTGGGAAAAAGAATTGGCCTACATATAGGAAATTTTAAATAAAGGAAGAAAGAAAAACCAAGTGTCTTGACTACTGCAAGTAACCAGAGGAAGACTGCCCTCTACACACTCACCTCCTCTGGGCAATGAGTCGTTGAAGAATCCTTCAATGGCATCACAGGTGCTTCCATCCCCTCCACAGACTCGGCACCTATCTTCTCTAGCGTCAGATCCCAAAATATTATCACAACCTACATGCTGAAAATAGAGAACATTCAGTGTGTCAAAAGGAAAATTCTTGGAACCACAATGAATCAAACACATATAACATATTTATTTGTATATCCAGGAAAGTAAATCAAAATAGGAAATACTTTCTCATTTAATTTCCTTCTCAAGTAAGTCCAGCTAACGTTTTGAAATTCCTAAGTTAAAAAAATTTATGCCTGTTTCTAACCTGGACCTTTCCATCTTTGATAGATATCATGCTCTAATACTTTGAAATATTGTTATTTATCAGCAACAGCCTCTCACTCTTACCACCCACTGAAGAAATTCAAGAACTAAGAAAGGTGGCTTTTGGGCCTCCAAGGTATATAATAGAGAGGATCATGAATGAGTGAGTGCTGCTCTCTGCCCTTTGTAAACCAGTCCTTCTTTTGGGTAGCCAAGTGATAGTGCTAGATGTTAGTTATGAAGTGCACACATGAGTAAATGTTTTAAACCAAATACTTGTTTGGTTTTGGTAAATAAATTGACATAAACAAAAGGAGATTTAAAGCATGCAATTTAAGGGACTAAAATTTCACATTTCATGTTTGTACTTCATTATAAAAATGTGTATTTTAACATATTTGGTACATATTTTGGTGCTTGAATTTATACATCTGAACATTTGTGCATCTTAATTTAGCCACTGAAAGCATATAATCCTCAAATAAAATCTGTAATTAGATCTTGTTATCTAAAAAAACTGTCACAAAAATAAGTATTCTTTAAGAAGATAAAGTACCTTTTCACTCACATAAGCACACCCAAATCTCTCTCTCTCTCTCTCTCTCTCTCTCTCTTTCTGTCTTTGTCTCTAGGTTACATCAGGGATTTTTTTAATGCCATACATACATACATACACACACACACACACACACACACACACACACACACACACATGCATGAACCCCCCACATATATACACATGCATGCACCTCCACACACATATGCACATATACAAACTGGATCATGAGATCCAGAGACAATTTATCAGAAGGAACTTGGAAACTGAAAATAAGCAAAGTACTGCTTTTATCACTTCGTTCTCACTTTGTACCACTTATATAATTCTCTTCAAAGTTCAACAAACAAACAAAAATTTACAAGAACAATGATTTTTCTGGCTCTTAAGATTCATAAGCAGTTTTAAGAAAATAGCATGGATTTCATTCTACCTTTTCCAAGTAGTTAGTGTAATGCTAAAGTACATGGTCCAGTAAGACTATGTAATAAAAACCATCATAGAGGTTCAAAAGGAGATAAAGCAGGAGGAACATAGCTATTTCACACTTAGGGGAGGAATTATACTATGAAATATATTGTCTTCTAATAAGAACATATGATAACCACATGGATAACAGTTGAATTCCCACTTCCTCTCTTTCTATTATTTTATTTGCAAGCAGAGCAGAAGAATAATGTAAATTAAAGCCCAAAATACGTATACAGCAGGCAATTGCTATAAATATAATTAGAATTCCAGAATAAATTACCTTGCATGGTTCTAGAATATCAATGGGTCATTCTGCTTTAACTATTATACATTATTGTCCTTTACTAGAAATTGAATTTCTCTTACATGTACCCTTCTTTTGAAAAACTGAACACAGAATTTAGTTCAAGCTATTATCTGAGAAAAACAAACAAACAAACAAAGATCTTAAAGACCTGAACAAAAAGAAATAAAATCTGAATAACCTTGCACTCTCCGTTGATACAGATATCCAGTGAGTCCACATTGCACTGGGTCCCATCTATTACTGCAGGGGCTCGTTCAGTATAGAAATTGTAACCTTCGGCCAGGCAGTTTAATGCACAAGGTTTTACCCCACCTGGACAAATAAAAGCAGAGGAGAAAAAAAAATGGAGTGGTTCTATTAAGAAATGGTGATTCAATGTTTTCTATGGCAAATTTATAATTCATATACACCATTCTCTAAATATACATTTAAATATGTAGGCTTCTTTGCTTTATAAATCATGCTTATTTTTATTATACAAACATCATAAATGAATACCTGTTGAGCAGTTTTGCATTTTAAACTTTTCAAGTACTTCCACTACATATTTATGATATAGTTTAGGCCAAAGAAATTACAGTGGAAGTCACTGAATGTTTAAAAAAAACTACAAGGGCTGGAGAGATGGCTCAGTGGTTAAGCACACTGGCTGATTTTGCAGAGGACACAGGTGGCTAACAACCATTCATAACTCCAGTTCCAGGGGAATTTGATGCTCTCTTCTGACCTCTGCGGGCATTGCACAACATGGGTGCACATGCAGGCAATACACTTATACACATAAAAATAAAAATAACAAAATTTTTTTAATGTATCAAAAAGAAACTTTTAAAAATTAATTAAGGAAATTAAATTTTAGGAGACATGAAATAGTAACATATATAACAAGTAGGGATTCGTTACACAGTCTACTAAAGCCAGTACAAAACCTCTGCTATGTTAGTTAAGCAAGGATATGTAGTATGAAAACAAAACTACACTGTACCTATCTTAAAAATATCACACTCCGTGGGTCTAGTTTCAGCATGAAATTTAAGCAATTTGTATGGTATTAATAAAAGAATAAAATATGAAATATTATATTAAATTTTAATGATTAAAGCAATATATAATATTGTTTTACGAAAAAAACACACAATAATGAAAAATTTCATTTTGCCATAGAAATGTGTGTTTTATTAGACATTTATTTCATGTATGTATGTGCGTATGTGTGTGGGTGCACATATGCCACAATGAGCATGCAGAGGTCAGATCACGAGTTGTGGAAATCTTTCCTTTCACCATACGGGTCTCAGAGCTCCAACTCAGTTCATCAGGCTTGGTGCAAGTGCCTTTAACTTGCTGAGCCATCTCAATAGCCCAGAAGTTTGCATTTTTAAGGTTAAAGTAAAAAATAAACAAAAATCATAGCAATGTACATGTCATGATCTTATAGTAATTTGGAAAAATATGAATAAACACAGACTTATTAGAATGAAAATCGCACATGTAAAAGCTATATGAATATGTAATCATTGATTAAAATTATAAATTAAATATTTTCTTTATGTCATAAGATTAAAACACTTTGGCCTTATTTTATTGAGGCTGACAAAATTTCTATTTGAAGTAAAGAACACTGCTTCTAACAAAAAAATAAAGTAGGCAAATAAAATAATATACCTAGTTTTCAGTGAAGTTCTGAGAAACCAGGTTTCAGAAGAGAGAAGTAGGTATGTAAAAGAAGAAAGCAAGCTGAAGAATGGGGCCAGCAATAAAATAGAAATAGCACATTCACCAAAGGAGATCAGTGTAATGATAAGGATGTTCCAATGTTGTTGATATTGTTTAAAGACAAGATGAAAACAGATTCTATTCAATTTAAATGTTTCCGGGTTTTTGAGGCTGGCAAAACTGGTCCCTAGAGGACTTTTGTTACCTGAGATGATGGATTAGAAGCAGCCTCTGTGTGATTCAATGAATGAAAAGAGTCAAGACAACAAAGAGCCTCTATGTATATAAGAGATAAAGACTGGAAGAGCACTGAAAAAAATCACAGAGTGATAAGACCCTTGGAAAGTGCAGAGAAACAGGACAATGCAGTGATAGTTCAATGCAGGGAAAAGGAAGATAGCAGAGAGCTCCCTGATGCAGGGAGGAGGATCAGAAGCTTCAATCAAAAGTGGCTTATTTTCTGCTCTGAGAATAGCACTGGGGATTGTTTTCTCTGGGATAGTATATTCAAAAACAATCATCAAATAAAACCAGAAAGAAATATCCAAATCAGTAGACATGCAATCGCAACACCGAAACACAACAAACATGAGGAAGCAAGGCAACATGACACCTCTAAGATAATAAATTCTCAATTAACGAATCTAAAAATGATGAAATGGTTGAAATGCCAGTCAAAAAAACATAAAGGTCCACTTCTAAATATAACCAATATAAACAAACAAGCAGATGGTTGAAGGAAATCAAGTCAGAACATAAATGCAAAAATTGGCAATGTAGAAGAGAAACCAGTAACATGGATGAGAAATTCATCAAGGAAATTGTGATCCTGAAAATGAAAAAAAAATTCATCAAGGACATAAAAGTACAGTGGAAAGCATCACCAGAGTAGATCAAGAAGAAGAAGTATCAGGGTTGGAAGACAAGGCTGATGAAATACCATATTTGAAATCAAGAAAAAAATAGAAAATAATAATAAGCATTACGACCACAACATCTGAGAACCCTGGTGCATGATGAAGGGATCAAACCTAAGACTGTGTGGTGGAGGAGCCGAGATTAAAAACTTGAGGCATAGAAAACATATTCAATAAAAATGTAGCCAAAAAGAAAAAACATCTCAAATCTAGGAAAAAAAATGAACATCCAAACACAAAAGGCATTTAGAACCCTAAATATGTATGACCACAACACATTATGATCAAGATGCTAAAACTATGAGAATACAGAAAAGAATAAATTTCATGAAAGAAATAGATTAACAAAGAACTAGGAAAGCTGTAAGATATACTAACCCCTTTCTTTTCCCAAGTTGCTCTTAGTATTTTATCACAGCAACAGATACCAAACTAAAACAGGCGTGTTATGAAAGTAACCATTTTCTGATTAGACTTAAAGCTCATTCCACAGGATAAAGCCCATTGATGGGATCATTAATTGGGTCAAAAACCTATGGCTTGTTAGGTCACAGGCTCTAGGGGAGAACCTAGTAGTATTATTCTGCTAAATGAACATAGTAATAAACCACCCCGTAAGTTCTTAACTTTATACCCATAAATTAGTGAATTTCTCAACTCTTATCAAAGAGGCTTCTTTTTACAGCAGATGGCTATTAACAGTGATAATGAAAAACAACTCACAACTGGTCAACATGCAGAGACTAGAGACTGTGGAGTGCTCAGCTCTCAGTAGTACATCTGTATCACACCCCTCCATCAAGTTCAGAGATCATCATAAAAGAGTGGATGGAAAGACTGTAAGAGCCAGAGGTAATGAACATCTGCAGCAAAATAGTACTTGTAGTACATGGCAGTCCCATTGCACAAATGAGCTCACAGAGGCTGCACAAGATCAAGCCAGACAAAATCCAGTGTGGATGGGAGAGGTGCTCATGAAGCATTACCACTAGCTGAGGAGTTATTGGCAGCTGATAGCTTCTGGGAAAGGAAGTCAGTTATTCGTCAGTGATGTAGTCACTAGAGGGTCCAGTACATGGTCGTAGCCCATGCACATGCAGGCAGCACTAACTGGACACATGAGAGTTTTTGGTTTTCTGTTTTTTTAAGGGAAAGTGATGAGATGGATAGGAGAGGAATTAGAGGGGAGAGAAGGGGGCAGATTTTATCAAAACTCATTATATGCATGTATGAAATTCTCATTTAAAAACAAAAAAAATATGCATATCACAGGCAAAGACACACAGAGTAAAGAACTGAAGTCACTATACCAAGCCAATGAAAGTACAAGTAGGAACAGCTATATTTACATCTGAGAAAGCATATATTTAAAACTAAAATTAGAACTGTTACAGAAGGTCACTACCTACTGTTAAGGGAAACAATGCATCCAGATGCCATAATAACTGTAAATATATATATATATA